AGAAAACATTTGTGTTTATTCATAGCTCAAGAGATTTTGTATGTCACAGCGAAAAAGACTATGAAGATAATCACAGAATCAGATTTTTAGCAAGATTCCAGCATGCAAACTCATAAAAATAAATCTCAAGGTATTCTCAAATCACTAGAAACAATCAGTTGAAAAATAAATTTTTAAAATAGCCCTTTAAAATTAATTGCTATTGCTATTGAAGTATTTTCTTTAAGTCCTAAAATATGTCTAATGAAGGATATAAAATGATTTACTGGAAATATTTGAAAACGCCATTAAATGACACCATAGCAGAATGAAATAAACGTAGAGATGGTGCATGTCCTCACAAAGGAAACCATGATGTCCACTCTCTCAAACAGGTCAAGAGTTGTAAGAAAATTCCATTAAATCTACAACCAGGTGTGTTTTGGGTTGGTTTATTTCTCTTTTGCTTGAACTTAAGAAAAACTACTTCTAGAGCCGGCCCCATGGCTTAGTGGTTAAGTGCGCGCGCTCCGCTACTGGCGGCCTGGGTTTGGATCCCAGGCGAGCACCGACGCACCGCTTCTCCGGCCATGCTGAGACCACGTCCCACATACAGCAACTAGAAGGATGTGCAGCTATGACATACAACTATCTACTGGGGCTTTGGGGGGGAAAAAAAGGATTGGCAATAGATGTTAGCTCAGAGCCGGTCTTCCTCACAAAAAATAAAAAGTAAGAAGAGACCACCAACATGTAGAATACAGAGAAAGAAATACTAAACCACGATCTGGGAGAAGATATTTGCAATACCTAGAAATGAAAAAGGATGACTGTCCAGACCATGGAAAGAAAACATAAGAAATCAGTAACACACAAATGAATTCGAGGGGAGGACATGACTGAAATCTCTCTGAAGGGAGATGAAATGCCTCACAAGAAATGCTCAACCCCAATGGGAATCAGTACAAACCAACGTGGAACCCCGGGAGACCCCGCTTCACACTCGAGATGGACAAAAGTCAGTTACTCCAAGTGCCAGAAATGACGTGGAATAAACACACGTGTGCGACAGTGAGACACTCGATTCCCATACCCCTCCATCCGCATTTCCTAGTAAATTGGAACTTACCCATAATCTACAAGCCCACAGTTATTCTCCAACGTGTAAAATATTTATGACCCATTTGCACCTGGAGACAAACACAAGAATGACTGCAGCAGCACTGCCGACAAAAGGGAAAAATCAACTTGAGTCAACCCGGGGCCCACAAGGACTGGAAGGGAGGAGGCACCCGGGTGACCCGAGCCTCAGACACCAGAACAGACGTGAAGCTGCAGAGAGCAACACACAGAACCAGGAGCGGGTCACCCCAGGGGAGTAGCTGGGAGACGCCACCAACCAACCAAGAAGATACAAACCTTACACCTTCACATAGTGGGGCAGCAGTCTGAGTGCTCGAGCGCCCTGGGGCCACCCGGCAGCAGGCCCGTCAGGAGACGGGGAAGATGAGCCCAGCGTGAGCCCACTCAGACCAGCACCCGCACCACAGCCCACATGGCCACCCGAAGGCACAAGGTGGAACCTGACCCTGAGCTGGGGGCCCGGCCCCCTGCTGAGAGGGAGCCAGGGTGGCCCCTCCCAGGAAAACCAGCAAAAAGTTGGCCATTGATGATAAAGTAGCTAGGGACTCAAGATTAAAGTTTGTTTCCTTTTTGCAATTACTGGCTGTAGCCTTTAGCTGTTTATCCGCCCAGTGTTAACTGTGCCGCTTAGGCAATATGCTGACTCCCACTAGGTTCCTATAGAAAACATCTCCTTGAAGCCTGGGTCACCATGGTAATGGATGTTTGAGCTGTTTTTCAGGAATTAGAGCCCCTTGTCCACTTCAGGCCGGTTGAGACCACCCACTCATCAACTGGGCCCACGTAGATGTCCGATAGGCGACCTTTTGACGTCAAGAGGCTAAAAACTCCACCCTCGGGTCATGCCAATGCCGCCATTTTGTGAACATTCGTCCTATGAAGAGGCATGAAGTCTGACTACGCCTGCTCAGATCATCAATTACCTCACCTCTCCTCACCTCCAATCATCTATCTCCACATTTCAGACCACCTTGCCCCCTTCCAGATAAATATCCCTGAGTCCCTGTTTTCAGGGAAGCGGATTTGAGATTCATTCTCCCATTTCCTCACGTGGCTGCCTTGTAATTAAACCCTCTCTCTCTGCAATCTTGTCGTCTCCGTGATTGGCTTTCTGGGCGGCCGGCTAAACGAACCTGGTTCAGTAACACCAGGGAAGGAGTGAGGGGACCCTGAGACCCCAGGACTGAACTCAGGAGCTGCCCACACCCTGCTCCCCCTCCTCAGTGTAGAAACACCCCCCTCCAGGCCTCAATTCTCCCCGGGGAGGAGACACTCAGAGATCAACTTCTGACCTGTATAAACTCTCACTTCCATAAACCCTTCCAGCAGCAGATGAACCCAAGGAGTTTCCCCAAGTCTGACCTTCACAGACTCACTCAGTTTGCACACACCACACTTCACTCCACCCACTCTATGGAGGATGCAAAACCGACCCTCAGGACACAGCCCCAGGGCAGCCCCACCCCGCCCCCAGCACCTCTGCAGGGGGGTCTCCCTGCCCCTGCTCTGTGGCTGCTCTCAGCACCAACAGCTCCTTCTGCGGTGGTTCTGGGGGTGGAGTCACCTGCAGGGGGGAAGCCCAGCAAGACCCCACTGCCCCTTCCTTCACCTCCCACGCAGGATTAGCTTTAGGGGCAGCTTGTCCCCAGCCCAGGAGATGCACCTGCTCCAAGACCCCAGGATCATTTAAATGGGACACAGACCCCATCCCCAGTGTGTGGATGAGAACCCACAGAATCCCGCTTCCCTCTGTGTCAAGAATACAGCAGGGGAGGGGAATTCTAGGGCACTTTTATGGTTTTAAACTGGTCACTGCTTATCCCTTCCAGAAAACAGACACTGGTTCACTACTATCCTCATGAGAACAAACTGTAAATCAAAAAATCAGCAATGAACACGTCTCAGTTTCACAGGTCACAATGCAAAGAATTTCCATTAACCTCTGACAACCAGCTATTAACAGGACAGGATCACACAGCATCACAAACTCTGCACCCTGCATGGCCGAGTCACTTTGATTTTCATGAACCTTTAAATCCACGACTCCCCCCACTCACATGAAGGAATGGGACTGCATGCACTTTCCCCACAATTCTCCTGGGAGAGAGGACGTTCTCTGTACTGAGACACTCTCCGCAGCCGCGTCTCTGGAATGCCCCGGAATAACACGAGTCAGCAGAACAGGGCAGAGACCTGAGACACTGACACCCTCACTACGGGGAAGAGACGAGGCAAAAACCAGTGATTTCACACCTGCTGAACCTGAGGCTGGACTAAGA